CTGAGATATTGCTTAAGTTCACAAACTCATTATCAAAGTCCACGTCTCTGTACTGCAGTCTGAAGTTGTCAGGCAAGCTCAATTGTCTTTTTAGCTCTTCTTTGAGCGCATCTACTGATCCTGGCATTCCATTGGGCAGAGTAAGTTTTGGTGAATCATCCACTCCAAGTACCACTCTTAGTGACACAGCCATTGTGTTCATTCTGAAAAACAACATATTTACCTTTAAAAAAATACATTTCTTCAGACATTACCAAAGTATACATTTATTCAACTTGAACTAGTTCCCACAGTACTTGCCCACATTCAATTGTACAAAAAAAACTTTGCTAATGAAAACTTAGAAGATATTATTTAAAGAAATTACCTGTCACATGTACAAATCTTTTTAAAGTTACCATCCGGACGGATCCAACCCTGTAGTCGGCCAGAGGATAGTGATCAGAAAGTTCCTTCAACTGAACCACCACAAATTGTGTTGTTGGGTGTAACTCAAAAGCTCGATAGTGGTCTCTGTACCATGAGGTAAACTTTTTCACAATAAGACTCAATTCGTTTTGGATAATGCAGAGCTGAATTATCTCTGCAAACTCAGGCAGACCACCACATGATCCATGCACAACTATCATACATTTTTGGTACTTTATGCCATTGACGGTGACACTTTGAGCCAGTTTTACAGTTGTCATTTCAGGGTAATTCTGAGTGATTGCCTCTGCAACATTGTCTTTGAAGACCTCAATGGAGACTTCTGACATATGAGCCACTTCTAAGGAGATGTGTTCAGTATCAGGACAAAGCATATGATGTGAAATCATTAACTGGTGTTTTGTTGCCAACGAGAAAGTTACATTCCTGAAGTTATTGATGTGTCTTGCCACCTGCTTAAAAAAGCTATGTTTGGATTCAAACCGCATGGTCCATAATGACACAAGGGGACCAAAACATTTAATCATTTCTGGATAATGTTCCAGATAATGATGTTTGGGCAATAACTTTTGACTCGGAAACAGTTCCTGATAGCGTTTTCGATGCTCTGATATTTTGCCCTCCAAATATGCTATTGATTCTTCAGTATGAACAGGTGCCGCCACCAGTTCGGCTATGTCCTTTAAATCCAAAATCACCTGCCAAGCGGGTTCCTCATATGGAACAAGCTTTCCAACAATGAAAGGGAGAAACCGAAGAAGGCACCAGTTCTCGTGCGCATTGCCACCAATTGAATGGTTCTTATGGAATGTTTTTGGTATCAAATGAGGTCTGTTGGTTTTATCTCTATCTTTGTAAGGGAAAGAACGGATAAGACTATTGAGATGATCAAGAGTGAGTATCTTTTTAGATATGAGCACCTCAATGCACCTTGCTAGCTCGACAGGAACAATGCCTTCAAACAGGTCGTGGGCAATGTCAGGGGGATAACCTGTGGTCACGTTAAAGTGAGAGAGTGCACTAGTTAAAATGCAAGACTTTTTTACCCCAAAGCAGCTTACCCCTTTTTCTTGAGCTGTGTTGACGTGAAGCTGATGAACTTCCTTGGTTCTTTTCTCAAAAACTCCAGTTTTCACTTCTTGGGTCTGGATATCAGATTTTTGAGCTGTGCAAAAACGACAGAAATATGCTCCTGAGAAGCTCTCCACAAATCCAGCTAGCCCATGAGCTCCCAGGTTGTCAGCAACAACACATTGAACTGTGCCCTTGATAGACTCGCCAAGATCTTCAATATGTAGGCCTTCCTTCTCCAGAATCACCAAATCATGCAACAGAGGTTCGAATATCTTCTCATAGCCAAATGTTTTTACATAATCGCTTTTGCATAACAGAGCCAGATATATTGAGGAAAGGGTTGAGTTACAACCAGGAGGTAGGTTCCCCAAAATCCAGTAAACTGCACAAAGCTTGTGCTTCTTGCGCGATGTGCCCAATGGATTACAGACTTCAAAGTCATCTATGTAAAGACAAAGGGAAATCCTCAAATTCTCACCAAAAAACATTTTTTTTGTGATTCACACCATCTTGGAAGCACACGTACTTGTTAACATTTGACGACAAGTTTGTATGATGGTCGACAAGCTTTGCAACTATATCTTTACGACCAAGTAAATGCTGTAGAGACTTCAGTAAAGGAACATACTGAAATGTCTTGTTTGATCTTTCCTCCAGTATGTACTCTACAGGTTCCACAACTTTAAATGTGTCCTTGTAGTATTGTTTGCGCTTGAACGTAGTGGCCAGTGGACCCCCTTTCGCAATAGCTTTTACCAGAGGATTATTAGTAGAAATGGCAACACTGAGCTCATCAATTATGGACTGAGCAACCTCAAGGTTATGCTTCTTGAAAATGTCAAGAGCTGTACTATGTGATATGGGTAGCGCTGCAGACGTAATGATGAAATGCAACTCTTCAAGAAAGCCATCAATTGCAGAACATGGTACATGTGAAAACACCTCTAGTTTCAAAAGAACCGTTGCCAGTCTTTTAATGATTGTTTCTTGCAAGTTCTCTATTGGAGTTTCACTTTCAAGCCAACATTGACCATCTAAGTCTGAAGCACCTTCTCCAGGATGGCCATCAGGTGTAGGATGGTCACTTTTTACATTTGCACCTTTTACTAGTTCTACTTTAAAGTCTTTAGCTGTACAATGCAGATGCCTCCTGCTCTTGTGTGATTTATAAGTACCGTATATATTAGTTTGAAATGTACAATTCTGAAACACACAAGTCACAGTTTCATATTGCTTCAGATGATTATTAATGTGAGACAGGTACTCACTGCTAGACTGTATTTCACTTCCAGGACATAAAGGGCATATGAAAACACCAGATTCTACACTATTACTTGAGACAGTAACATGATATCTGTTCAGATGAGTTTTGAGAGCATTCCATGTTTTAAATGAACATGGACATTCATAGTATGTGCATGGATACGAGTGTCTTTGTCCATAATGATAATGCTTCAATTTGTAGTGTTTAAGCAACAGGTACCTCGTAGATAGAGTCTCAGGGCACTGTTTGCACCTCCACATTGAGAACCTGCAAAACAGACTGACGTTAGAAATAGTTTGATTCATTACCAAATGTTTTAAGTAGTTGTCCCTCTACAATTCACCTGCACAATGCTAATCGTGTTTTTTTGTAGTAACTGCATTAAAGACTGTCATTTGGATACAAAAAAGTTTAGCAAATGGAAGACAAACCAAAATAACAAGACCCTCTCATGGAAAATGAGCATGTCCCAACACCATGGTTTGCCTCAGATCCTGATCAGATATTCAAACTTCCAAATACTTTTTAAAAATGTGTACTGCAAATTCTAAATAATGTACTGATTATATAAATAAGTACAATAACACAAATGGTACAACTTATACATTTTTTTTCTTGTTTGTAGAGAGAACTCGGAAGCGAAAGTCTGGCCACTCAAATAATAACTAACTATTTAAAATTTAAATGTATTCCTTAGAAGTGTTTTTTATTCTTTATTTTGTATTATCTCTTTCTGACTGTTGCACTGAGCCAAAGCAATTTCCAAGTCTGTGACTTCCTGTTACTTAAGTGGCAATAAAAATGATTCTGATAGTCCGGGTGAAAAATAGACCGTTCCGGGCTACCGCGCACGCACAGACACTGATAATCATGCAATACGAAACGGAACGCTTATCCGTAACACACAGCTGTTCATACAACCTCGGCATAGCCATCGTTTCAATACTGCGCACACGCCTTGTACTGATTGAAATAGCTAATTCAACATTTAACAATGATTGAAATAACAGCTAAACAGAAGCTATGTTGAAGATGAAAGTTCTGATAAATAATTATATAACTGATATAAATGTTACTTCTAACAACAGTTGAGGTGAGAATAATAACCCTTTAAGGTCATTGTGGTGATTTATTTAGTGGCATAGAGATCGTTTGGACTAGCGGGGAGCTCCGCATGTGGCAGAAGCTAGCGTTAGCTGTTAGCAGCTATCAGCTGCTGTGTTTGCGGCGCCATTATGGCGAAAGCATGGTCGGCAAGTCACTGTTGCATCGACGCAACTGGAAAAAACAGAAACTAACACTGCTTACCTTGAACGCCCAAGCTCATAGTATATTGTTGTTTAGTTATATGTAGCTAAATCATGCAAAATTACCATGGAACACCTCTGATAGGCTAGCAATGACTATGTTCCGAATTGAAGGACACAACCACTATTGAAAAAAACACCATACCGTTTCATGCTGTATAGTCAAGGAAGCGTCTTACTTACCAAAATGACGAGAATTTGCAGCCGCTCGAAGTTCAGTAGTACACTTTCGAAATGGCGCACACTGTTCGCGGTCACAGTGGCAAGCTCTCTGGCTCCTAGGGTTGCCAGATGCAGGCAAGATTTCCCAGCCCCAAACCCGCAAGAATCCCAAAAAAATAACACCCAAAATGATATTTTTACAACAACAAAAATGGAATCAACTTAGAGTATTAGGATTCTGTTTATGGTCTTTTTATCTATTAATTACCAACGAGATACTTGGAACAAAATTATGCGGGGAACCGCCCATCTGGCAACCTTGACAACTACGCAGGTCTGAGATCTGCGTGATTGCGTCACAGTACAGCGTCCTTGCGTACATGTTTGGTTTACGTGAAAGAGTTAGGTTGGTTTTAAACATATGTGCTGTTTAGCTTTGAAATCTGTTGCTTTTGTGTTATACCAATGCAATATCGATATGTTTTCTGTAGAAAAATAAGAAACACACTAATATAACTTCAACAATTTTACATAAAGTGCACAACATCGCTATTTCACTTCTTAGAGTGCAGGTGTTCTTTACGCTGGAACCGGCTCTTGAGCAGACTCTCGGAGCTCCTTGGAGCCGTATGCTCTCCCGCAGCGCGGCTCCGCACATCCTATAGCCGGGGTGGATGTGGCTCTCCTGGGAACATGCTCTAACCCCCACGAGAGCGGCACAGTTGAATGTTCCGCATTGTTGCTTTGATCAAAGCGCAGCTGCTATGGATTTGATGAACTTCAGCAGAGACTCAGGTTGTTTGAGCCCACAGCTCCATGGTACGGACTTCAGCGCCGCTGTAGGCCACATTCTATGCTGCAGGAGAGTGTATAGCTGGGACATCATACCCCAGCTATATGGGGCCGTGGTGTAAGAGCGTTACGGGAGACATCCACCTGGCTATAAAGCCCCGTTCAGGCCGCCACCTCCTTCCTGCGCGGTAACGGCAGTTTGACCGCCTGTTTCTTAAAAATCTGCCGCGTGAGTTTATTAAAATACCGCCCTGTCCCGCGGCGGAAGTGTCGGCAGCCGGTTCCCGCTTCTCTCCCCCCTCCGGCCTGAGCAGTCTCCCTCACTGATTGGCTGCAGCGCCACGGCATGATCATCTCAAAATTCATTAGAGAATCATGACTCTTTCACAAGCACATTTCACCCTCTTTAGAGGGTGAAATGGGATTAAAAAAAGTCATAATTACGTTATTTTGTGAGAACAATGCCCCTCTGTAATTTTGCATCACTGGACAAATTACGATCATCTGATTAGTGACGGTTCTTAAGATGGCTTACAGTAGACCGACAAAAGATGTTAAAAGGTAAATCTTTAACAGAGGCAAAAAAATCACATTTACTGGAAAACTTTTTTTTTATTTGTGCTCTAAATTTTTGACACCTCATGCTCCCTCCCCCCAGCTCTACAGCGAGTTTCTTTGGATAACTAATGAAAACCTGCCCCATCTCTTCTATGGCTCGCTTGATAAATACGCACCAAAACTCATTGAGCTTTACAAAAAGAAGAGATCAGGTCCCTGGGGGGAAAAGATGGAACATCTTCTGACAGTTTATGAACAGGTAAGTGACTTAAATTCAAATCATCATATTTAGATTTTTGTTAATGTGTTGTCTTTTCAGGAGAAGAATGACATAAATGTCATTAGAACAGTAGCCCTGTCCGGCCTAATAATCCATTTGAAGGAGGACTCATCTGATCTCTTCCGGATATGCAAGGTAAAAAAAAAAAAATTGTTAAGGGTTCTATTCTGTTGGTTGGGGGCGGCGTCTATAGTAAATTGATTTGTACAAATGGATAACTGGATTATTCTCCCCCATGCAGGACGAAATGGATTTTCAAGAGGGAACTGTTGCACTTGTGGCTATGGCTGATGATGTCCCAGGCGGTGTTCCATTCTCCACTCAACAAGTCTTCATTGTGCTCGAGGACCAGGTTGTAATGTCCAGCACATCATGGACTGGTGCTCTTGTGTGTTTGTTTGGGTTGATTTATGCTCTGCATCTGAGCTACCCGGAGAAGTGCATTGGCTTTTTTGAGTTCATTCAAGTGATTCTTTTAAAACTACACAATGATAGACGGCAGCTTAAATCAAAACTGCAGTCACTTCAAAATGTGTTAAATGAATAGTCTATCGATCTAGGGCCGAGCTGAAGTTTTAGTTGATAAATTGATGGCATTTTGGTTTACCTATGTATGAAGGATTCTGTGCCAAAATGATCGGAGCTATTTTAGACATCAAAGCCACATGTTTATCATTTTTTTTAGAGAAAGATGCAAAAGCTTTAAACAAATTTTCCGCAAAAACGTGTGGCCCAAATTTTGTGGTGCCAAAATTAATTAGGCACCACTGACGACGATTTGACTGACAATTTTTTTTTATTTAGTTTATTTGTGCAACCATGAGACATTAAAACAGACTAAAAGTACAAACGATTGTCACAAGACGGGTAGCATATACAATAAGGTGCAGAAACAACCATTGAAGTGCTTTCAGATGACATCAGTATTTAACTATATAAAAGGAATTAGAATTCATTTGAATTACCAATTATTTAACCTGTAACCTTAGTGTTCAATTCATCAACTAAAAAGATTTATAATTTGTTCTCTGAAGTACAGATGTCTAGTACTTTCTACCAAAAATGCCAATCTGTTGTGTTCAAAAATTGTGTTCCTTGGCCTGTCACAATAAACTATTTTTGTTAGACTAGTGCTTTTGCAATGCAGCAGGGCTAATCTGAACTACGCTAACTATACATATATGAATGCACCATTTTAGTTCCCTTTTGTTTAATGAGATGCAAAAAATATCATTGTGATGGAGAGCATTGTTTTACAAAAAATGTTGAACATGATTTAAATTTTTTTTTACAAAAATAATCAAACATCATAAAGGTGCTTTGTAATTTTCTTTTAAATACATTATTCAATCTTCATTTACAGACAAATATTGAGTCAAACTAGTAATTCGCTACTTGCCCACTACCATATTGCATTGTGAGCTTAAAGGAATAGGCCAGTTTTAACATACTGACATACTTTCTTAACTTACCTTAGACTAGTTGATATGTACCTGTCTGGTCTTTGTCATGCAAACGGAGCAAACGCACAAACTTCCATATACTGTATAGTAACGGAATCAGCTCCCGGTTAGAAGCTACAACTCTTTCACGTGTTCCCTATTTAAATAGTTACGTGACGTTGTACACTACCAAGTATAGTAACACAGAAATGTAACATGTCAATTTTCTCAGCGGATAAAAAGGGGAACTATATTGTGAGGCGTAATAATACGAGCGCTACGTCTGCCCACTAACTCCTATAGACTTCTCTCCTGCTCACTTCCGTCAATAGAAGCAGCGGGAGCGTACACTGTACACAGGCATATTTCAGGCATCCAGAAGATCAACAATCATATGACAACTATTTGATTGAGTGGGAAATGTACAAGACTAGTGCATGCCAGACACAGGGAGTAGAAGATCCTAAAGTGACACAAAAGCTGAATTGCGTAGTGGTGGGAGAACATGGGGTGGCGTTTGCTAACACAAATTCAAACACAGACACACTCCCAATATTTAGGGTTGACAAATCCACACCACATGTAACAATGATGATTGAGTCCAAAGCAGAGGCCAAGAACTTAGGTCCAATGTGTGCACTGATATTGGCCAGTGATTTAAAACCAATGTGTGTGCAACAGGGACAATTACAATACATTGTACTGCATAGTGAAACCACAGGAGGTTATGTGATCAAATTCAATGACCCAATTGAATATAAAGCCACTATGCAGGAAGTACAGAGAACAAGGACACATGGCAGGGAAAATACCAATTCAAACCTATTTGAAGAGCAGAAACACACTTTACCTGAGAGGCTATGGACAAAACATGCATTTGACATTGGGAAAGCAGAGGGAATCCTGCCAATAAAACTACTGTTTGATGACCAAGTGTGTTACCAGAAGTACACAAAATTGACAAATTGAAGTACACAGTCTCAGAATTGGTGAAGGCAGGAATAATTGTTGAAGCGCCAGAGTATACGCCATACAATATTCCAATGTTGGCAGTAGACAAGGCAGGAAAACCATACTGCAGACTAGTGAATGACTTCAGGAAATTAAATGAGAGATCGCAAGACAAACTATTGGACACACCTGACCCACACAGAGCAATGGCATTCTTACCAGCGTCTCATAAATGGTTTACCACCATTGATTTATGTAACGCATACTTCTGCATCCCATTGCACCCTGAGTGCTGGAAGTATCTGGCATTCACAGTCGAGGGGAAAAAGTATGTGTATACGCGTTTGCCACAGGGTCACTGCGCTGCACCTGGGATCTTTAACAAATTGATCCAGGACGTGCTCTCTGAGATTGACATTGACCCAGACAAAAACTTTGTTCTGGCCTATGTAGATGATATTCTAATCTCAGGAGTATCTGAAGAGGCATGTACAGAAATCACTATGAAAGTCCTTAGAGTAGTGGCAGAAAAGGGGTTCAAAATTGATTATGACAAGTGTGCGTTTGTAAGACAGAGAGTATCTTTTCTAAAGACTTATCTCACTTCAGAAGGAGTCATGTGTGACCAGTCAAGACTGATCAAACTATCAGAGTTTCCCAGACCAAAAACAGTGAGAGAAATGATGTCCTTCATAAATACGGCAAGCTATATCAGGAAATATATTTTCAACTTCTCCTACATGATGAAGCCCTTGCAGAAAATGTTGACTGATGTAGGCTACACAGATTATGATGGGATCTTGACATGGACTGAGGAGCAAGCACAGGCATTTCAATCAATCAAAGAAAAACTATCAATGGTGCAAACTTTACACTGCGTTGATAGGAAATACCCAATTATGATGGAAATCACAATGACTGGAGATTATTATTGTGCAGTGTTGTTTCAGAAAATAGCAGATGCACCCAAAATATTGTACATATTCAGCTCCAATCTCAGAGGATCAGAAGCACACCACTTCTCATGTGCACGTTATGTAATGGCCCTTAAAGGCGCTATACCCGTTTCTGCAATGTTTGAATGTTTAGCACCGCCCCCAACTCGCTCACAGGCTTCTCATTTCCCCTACGCTCTCATAACACAGAGCCACCTAGTTTTATTTGCGATCTGATATATATGCTAACATTAGCATTAGCACAACTTCTTGTAAGCTGTACAACAATCACAGATGAAATGGCACTAAAGCAACGCACTGCTAACACAATATATAAGTAAAAGAATACCGCTAGTTTCGCGTCCGAATGTATTAATTTAAAACCTTAGAATATATTCTAATATTTAATTATAATTTGATATTAGAATATATTCTCAAAGCAGCAGCAGCAATTCTTCCGTTCTTGATAACAGAACTCTCAAACCAATAATGACCGAAGCCCCAATGCAACCTCTGTTTGTAATTCAGGTGTGTAAAATACTGCCATTACTCTGCAAGTACAAAACGCTATCAGCACCTGTCACTACACACTTGTCTGTGTGGAGAAGCTAGCTGAGCTAGCCACGCTCAATAAACAACTACATATCTATCAATCAACACCATTAAACGTCAATCGGACAATACAGTACACATATACATCTTTAAAACACATGCACGGATGATTTCAGAATTTGCTGTTAACGTTTTCATGACAAAAATACTGTTTCAATGTGACAAAAAGCGATTGCGAAAAACCCGGAAGTTACCATGAAACAGCTAGCTAGCTTAGCTGTTACCTGCCTAGCACGTCCCGGTGAAACCTTTGGGAGCTAACTATTTTATTTGCTGTCATTAAATACATTTCGAATTACAAGGGTTGTCTAATATTTGTTCACATTTTTTTATTCAATTATTTTGTTCCTCATTTTTTATTTTAGAATTATATTCGAATTTTGAAGTCGAAGCCCTGGTGTTAAGCAGCGCTGTAGGGGCTAGAGGACGCAGGCTGTTCGCTGCTCGTTCTGTGAGCGGAGGAGAAAGAGCGGCCCGCTCAGACTCTACTCAGCACTTTTCACTGCTTGTAATTCTTACACAGCTGAATCAATTACCTCAAGTTTTCAATTAAATGATGTATTATGATACAACTTGTATGTAGTAAAAAGCATTTTTATGAACTACTTAGAAAAAAAATCGGGTATAGCTTCTTTAAGAACTCACTGGTTTCCACATCACACATACTCTTGGACTCAGAGGTGATAGTGAGGACACCACATAACATGTATGCAGCTTTGAAGGGGAACACATTTGCATTGACAAATTCAATGTCTCAAAAGATTCATCTGTTACTCGTAAATATGCAAGTTACATTTGAACCAACAGACTCTCCAATATTACCATTTACTATCTCAGGCCCAGTTCACCAGTGTGAGGTCCAACATAGTGAAGAAACAAACTTGATCAAAAAGTTGGGCAGGTCAGAGATTGAGGGGTCACATGCTATTTTTATAGATGGACACTCGCATAGAGACAAAACTGGAGCATTGGTTGCAAGCGCAGCAGCAGTCATCCATGACAAGGAAACATCACCTGTTACCAATCCTGATTTTAACATACTGAAGGCAGAGGCGCTGGCAGGGAAGTCAGCTCAGTATGCAGAATTAGAAGCATTTAGCCTGGCCTTGGAGAACAGGCCAGAAGGACCTGTCACAATATATACTGACTCTGAGTATGTGCATTCTACAGTGCATTTGCACTTGCCAATCTGGGTATTGCATGACAGTTTCATCACAACAAAAAATTTGAGACCTACACATTTGGAATTATGGCAGAAGGTGGCAGATCAAATCAAGAATGTACGTCACAAAACTGCATTGGTCAAGTGCAGAGCACATACTCGAGCCAGAGACTTTGTGGCAAGGGGCAATGAGTTTGCTGATAGAGTTGCTAAAATGACAGCTGGGTATGACAGGATAGGTACGGCTGTGCAGGCAGTTATTGAAGACAATCCTGAGGGAACAGAGGCACCAGTGGAGGAAAGGGAAGAGAACAGTCCACACATATTGCAAGAAAATCCCTCACTGTATGATGTGACAGCATGGAAAACTGCAGGGGCCATTAAAAACAGTGAAGGAGTATTCTATGATACATTTGGTAAACCGTGCGTGACTACTAAAAAACTA